TGGTATTTCACCGTGGTGGTTCTCTCAAAATGAGAAAATAGTGTAAAATTTACAAAGTGGGCTTAAAAATTTGTGATACATCGCATTTATTTGATCGCTTTTAGATTAAAAGACTTGCACAAACAGATCTCTCATTCTTTCAAACTATAACTATCAATTTACAATTTGATGGAAAATGCTTGTTAACTAGGAGGTTTTTTCTCCAATTTTCTCATTACTTAACAGTCGTGACAGCCCTATATGAACTATTTACCGTAATTTAACTCAATTATTGTGCAAAGTCAAATCGCTGCTAAAGACATCCTGATTTTGTAGATATAAGATTTAATAATCATCTCGCCGATTACTGCAAAACTTTTTTACGAATGGTTCTATTGCAAATTGCTCGATAGTTGCCCACTTGGGAAATTTCCCTTTATTTGATAAAAGCAATTCTTATGTAATCCAATTTCCTTACTTAGATATTGAAAGAATACGGTATAATGAACAAACTTTTATTTGCATACAATTGATTAGACGCTATTTAAAGATGAACAAGTCCTCCAAACATTAAATCTTGTTTTTCTTGTTTTTTTAGTGCATTTGGTGGGATTTCCATCTTTCCGCCTTCTTTACCTGATTTGCTTTCACTTTCCGAACTACTAGACTCATAGAGTTTCATTATGTTTCTAAGATTGTCCGCCTTTTTCACAACTGGCTTAGCCGGCTGTTTTGCAGGCTGCTTTACGGGCTGCTTCACAGCTGCTTTCCCTGTTATCGGCTTTTTCGGGGTTGTTGTTTTACTTTGGACAGGTGCTGGTTTCTTAGGTTTCGCGATGATCTTTGTTTGCGTCTCCGGTTTATGCTCTTTCGTAGCAGCTTTGCTCAACTTTCGTTGTCTCATTAGTATAAGAAATACTGCAATTATTATCAGAAGTATAGCTACAACTCCACCCACTATGCTTAAGATTATTGCGGAGCCGCTCCTAAATTTCACAGCATTAAGCGAGAAATAAACGTGGAAAAGTATAGTCAATGAATTTGATAAATTGAACTTGCCCTTCTTCGCTTTCTTTGCTACCCTAAATGCTTAATTTCTCTATGGACAATTTATGTCAAATGATTAATACCTTCTTGGTTATGTTGGTTGCTGTAGTAATCGCACCCTTTCTACCTAAAATATTGGCAATAGGTTTTTTGAAAACTCGAAAAAGTCTTATATTACGGCAGAGAGAGATGTATCGTTACAATGGTTACTGATTGCAGTGATGCATAGCAGACACTTTCATCTGTTTAGATACATATTTCCTTGGCAATACGATTCATCAAGAAGTGATTTTTATCAAGAAACATCTACAAGTTAGATCTCTCACTTATTTCTCGTAGAAATCTGGAAGATTTGCTAATATGTGTTGCGATTTTGAAGGCTTATGGGGCGTTTAGTGATTCCTTAATCCGAAGCGTTCAAACTAAGAGGATTTTGATGTGATCCATATCTTTTGGCAATGTCTTCTTCTTATAGCTTGCCTTAACATCCAGCATCAACACACTTGCACACACAGCACTTTGTATGCACGATTTTATTCTTGAGGGATGCATGCGATGACCATGTGTTAATGTCTAGATCCTTAACCTCTTTCAAAAATTACTAACCCTGCAGATCCCTTATTGAGATACAACAAAGAACTCTAAATGCGAATCAACTAGCTTAAGGCTAGCCACGTTCTACAGTTGCGCACTATTTGAAGACTCGAAATCATGGAA